CTCTGTTAACAAACGAGTCGAACAAATTATACAGAATGGAACGTTGATCATTTGATCAAGTTAGAGGATGTCACAAGGTTAGAAAAAGGGTAATTATTTTCTATTTTCCTGAGAATCAATCATCGTGACAACTTCTCTCTAATTAAACTAAAACAACGATCGGAAATAGGAAAAAGAAAAAAAGATCTACGCGCGCAACCTAACAGTCAAAGATCCACTGGCAACAATTAACCCGGAGGAATCGTTCGTTTCCCTCGTTGAAAGATCCTCTGTACGTTTTCCCCCTGGCATTTTAGCATCATCTCTTTCTCTCTCTCTCTCTCTCTCCAGTTGCCAGTGATCGTTGACCAGCAAATTAGTTTTTTCCTGCCTCCTCGTCGAAGGAGAGTTCACCTCGTCGGTCGACGAGCAGCAGAGAAAGAGAGAGAGAGAGAGAGAGAGAGAGTGTGTGTGTGTGTGTGTGTGCGTGCAAAAAGTGGGGATAAGTAAAATAGTATCCTAGAGAAGCCCGGTGCTTGGTGCTCGTATATATCAGTGGGAGGAGCTGAGGAGGGTAACTGCAGGGAACGAAAACGGTAAGGTAAAGCTGGCAGATATAGCCAGCCGACGAAGAAGAAGAAGAAGAAGAAGAAGAAGAAGAAGAACGAAGAAGGGGTGGTGGCGCACGATGCCTAGTAAGACTAGAAGGTATAAAAAGAGGGGCTGTTGGACGGGAACGGGAGATAGCCAAGGGGAGGACCTAACCAAGAAACCAAGGGGAGAAGAAGAAGATGAAGAAAAGCGGAGAGGCAGCTAGAAGAGCAGAAGGGAAAAGCTTTAGCGCGGACTAGATAAAGTGAGAGGGGCAGAGGAGCGAGAAGGGGACAGAAAGGTAAGGTAGGGGGATCGAAACGGCGACTCAGTCCATCTGTCCGGTGTTTTGTCCAAGCGGCGGCAGAGGCACTAGACAAAAACTCACCTAACCCTTCCTTGATTACAATGCCAGTAAAAAGCGAAATACTAACCGCTGCTGCTGCTGCTACCGCCGCCGCCGCCGCCGCCGCCGCCGTCGTTGCCGCCACCACCACCGCCACCACCACTGCACTGGTGTGTGGTGCCGCGCGAGAACGGCCGCTTCTAAGAAACTAGACTCGTTTTTGCGTAGCATCGGAAGAGCGTCCGCACCCGTGAGCTATCGAACAAAGAAGCTATAGCACTCGTTCAGCTCTCACCCTCGGTCTCTCTTCTCTTTACCACGTCTAACCGAACGTCTTTTACCCTGGACCACCCCCCTCATCTGCTGATGGCTGCTTCTAACCCGCTACCACTTCTTTCTTTGCCTAGCCCCTCCTAACTTCTCTTCTTTCTCCTCCTCCTCGTCCTCCTCTTCTTTTTTCTTTTCCCTTTCCTTTCTCATCCTCGTTCGCGTGTAGAGCTTGATCAAACAAAACTGGAATTTAGGCGAAAAAAAATAGTAAATCATTTCGATATTACGGGACTTGCAAATTGTTATTATAGAATACCGGGATCTTCTTAGGTTGTCTTCTCCATGACTCTTGTAAATTCCACGTTAATTTTAAAACTACATCAGTTTATTTCCAAGACACATTGTTTACACGTGGAATAACGTACGACTTACTGCCGGCTGCTGTTTTCTTATTAGTTTAGACATGCGCGATGCGCAACTTCGTTTCTGCTTCGTCAAACTGTTCCATCGAACGGCTATCTTCTTAATCCTTGCCCCTTTCCCCTCGCGTATCACGGTCGTGTTTCTTCCTCGTCTCCTGCGAGGAGACTGCTCTCTTATCTATTACGTTAGAGAGGACTTATCGATTCTCCTTCGAAGCGTTTGATGGTACTCCCGAAGGGAAACGTCGCTTCTTCCTCTCTCTTCCACCTCTTTCACTGTGTTGCAACACGGCCACTCCGCGTTCGATCGATGAAGAATCTGTGAATCTCTTGAATTTCCCCTTTTATTATCAATATCGGGGAAGGGAAGAATCGAGCATTAGAGCTTGGTTATTTATATTTGTTCGCTTGAACTCGTTGAAGAATAGTGTCGCAATTTTCCTACAGAAATTCTAACAGCAAGTCGGAGGCAAATCCGAACGAGAGTGCGATCCGTGAATCGCTGGGTTGAAAAGCAACGGGGGAAACGAACGAGCGACGGTGAACAACGGTGGGCACAGAACGGAGAAGAAAAGTCCTCGGTGGTGGCGAAGTGGCAGCGTGCACGCATCGTTCCCAGGAAGGCTGAGGAGGCCACGGGTAGGATCAGGTTTTTCTTAGCGCGTCCCTGGTGCGCGCGGTATTGGATGCTATGCCGTGACGACTCTGCCTCCAACTCGCGTACGTGTTCCCCGCTGACAAAAACGATTATACCGTGCCAAAAAAGTTGTTATGTAAATGCACCGCCTGTCCTAGACTGTCGGTCAGAGGTAGCAGCTACTCTACTCGATCGAGGCGAGAGGATCCTTACCACTGTCTGATTACCACAATGAGCCGAATATCACGGCCAAAGTTGAATTATTCCCTCGGTTTCTATCGGATTCGTGGTTGCCTTGTTGCTGTGATTTTCAAGGCACTCTCTATGTAGAAATATAGAATTAATTCGGAAAGTGACCGCTACTCGGAAATATATAAATATATATTTATATATTTATATATTTATAAATTTATATATTTTTTATATATTTTTTATATATTTATAAATATATAAAATATATAAAAAAAAACTAGAGACAGGGAACGATGATTTATATTGGTGTAATTCAACATTTGTTGAAGCTGATTATGTTCGAACTCGCGTTAAATTATTCTTCTTGAAAAATATTCGCAGCAAAATATTTCCCCCTTAAGGGGAAATCTGCTTTACTTTTAAACGAGAATTTTCTTCGTCAAGTTTCCCTTAATTTGATAAATTTAAGTTCCTCGACGGGAGATTACTCCTTAATAACAGGAGTTGAAAAGAAATGGAAGAAATGCTGGTGTTTTTTTGTTTTTTTTTTTTTTTTTTTTGTTTTAAAGAAGTTGTTAATGCTTCTTTCTTAAATTTATGGACAATAAATCATGTACGAATCACTCTCGTTGATTGGGCATTATTGTTTGATTTCCGCGTGATCAAAGGGCTCATGAATATTTGAAACGAACGCACAGCGTGTAAAAATCGCTCATGTTTAATTAACGAATGGCACATAAAACACTCGATACTGTAAAGCACGTCTGGTTTATTTTATACGAACTTATTATCGGTATCTCATTATATTTGTAGCTTGTCGAAGAAGCTAATTATAAAGAAGATCGCAAGAATACTCACTTTATGTGTTTAAGAATACTCGGATGGAATGTCGAAATAGTAAAAAACAAAGACGAACAATGGTATGTATGGAAAAGTTGGAATGGAAACCCAAAAGAGGTCCGATTATTAAGTTGTAAAATGTGACAAGATTTTATATCCCGAGATATGCTTGGGCATACTTACTTTATAATTTTTAGTTTTATACTAAGTATTACCTAAGAGAATAATCTCAGTTGAACATCTTAAACCACCTTGAACACTAGAGCAATTTATCATTTTCGTATTTAATATTTTATACTTAACAAAACGTAAAACAGTGTGTTTTTTTCCCACTATTTATTTCTTTACTTCAATGCCTCTAATGGAAGTTTTGAATGCTTCAATCGTCGATAGTTCGAGCGTTAAAGAAATTTCTCTACTAACATATAATACGATATGATAAATTCACTCGGAATAGATTTGTATTTATTTCAAAAATAAATATTTGAGAAGCAATCGGTTCGCACCTCTCAATAGAGGCAAATTAATATTTCAAACACTTTGAATTGGGCAAATGCGTCCATTTATCGCGCATACACCAATGTTTAAATAAATAATGTTTCACGGCTATGTGATTTATGAAACAGCGCACGTTGCAGCCCTGTAGATCGCGTTCGCGCGATTGTTGAGTCCATCGTGAAGAACTCGCGTAAGAGAGCGCGCGGTGGGGGAGTGAGAGATCGGCGCCTCATTAGAAAGATCCACATATCCCTTTGGTGGGTTCAGTCCCTGTGGCAGTCTGCAGGGGCCAACGTCAGAAAAATCTCGCGGAACGAGTCACCCCGCTGCTGTCAGGGACTTACTCGTATCTCGGCCGGTGTATATAAGCGTGAGACCGGGCCTCAGGTTCGTAATAAGACCTGACGGCCAGGTTTTTCAGGGCCCGGCTCTACCGTATTGCTCCGTATCTCCTTCTGCATTTCTTCTCTCTATCGTTCTCTCTTAGCTTCCTGTCGTTCTCTTTTTTTTTTCCTCTCTCCGTCTTTCCATCGTCCTCTCTCTACTCATCCCTTAAATATCTCCCTTTTTCTCTCCTCCTCCTTCTCCTCTTCGTCCTTGTCCTCCTCGTTTCTGTCGTTCTTCCTCTCGTACGCGCGGTTCATCTTCCGTTTCGTCTTTCTTCCCTTTGTTTTAATTTCTATCCACTCCTCCTCGTCGCGCCCAGGCCGCAGGTTTTCTTTCCGAAGGGACACACAACTCTCCCTCCCCCTCACTCTCGCTCTCTCTCTCTCTCTTTCTCTCCTGTTCGCCGTCTCCTCCTCTCTTTTGGAGAACGACGTCCGATGCCATGCCAGCGGTACCGGTATTAATTTATACGCTGTACGTGTGTGCACGCCGCTTTTTCTCGCAGTTCCTCGAAATTTGCAAGAAACTAGTCGGACACCCTGGCGGCTCGACCGTCTGCCGCATAGTGTTCGAGGCGAGCTCTCCACCGCTCAGGTGAGCTCCGCTCGGCTCGGCCAACCGGACTCGCCAATCGAACCGATCGATCAACCGATCCAACCGATTCAACCCTTCGCGATACGTCGGGATGCCGGGAAATTATTTTTCGGGGGTCCGATTCGAAGAACGTGAATCATTCTCTTCGCTGCAGAATATTTTTAACATATCTTCGCGTTTGTTTGTTTCCTCTCCTTTCCTTTGTTACTTTTGCAATCGAAAAGAATGAAAGAACGAACAATTATCAAAGCTGCGTCTTTGTTGCCAGCAGGATCGAATTTGATATTTGTGTGATACTTTAATAATTTTATTAATTCACTCTATAGATACCTACCGTAGATGTAACGATCTAATGATTTATTATTTATATATTTATTATATCGATATTATTTATTTAATCTATATAATGAGTTGTTAGGATTTTTATAGAAATGACGTTGCCTTTCAATGAATCTTTTTTTTTCGTGAATTTTGTTTAGTGGTGCAGACGTCCGTACCTCAGAATGAAGCGGAACTTCAGCTGTACAGGGTGATGCAACGTGCCTCTCTGTTGAGCTATTACGATACACTTCTGGAAATGGGTAAAGAACAGCAATAATTCCTCTTCGAAAATTTCAATTTGTCAAAAAAAAAAAAAAAAAA